GTAGTTTTATCCTAATTCTTTTATGTGAAATTTGATTATTATGCATTAAGATCTCTGTATACACACATAATTTGGCTTATTTGAGGGCCACAGATTTTAGTGGACAAAATGATATATTGAAAAGAAAAATAAAAGACACACAATTTGATATTACCATTTGCCTTTTGTTTCATAAATACACATTTAAAAAACTATCTCATTTTCTTATAACCAGTTTTAAAAGGGATGCATTTGGAATTATCTCTAATTTTAGATTTCTTCATTCTGAATGAAGAGGATTCCTTATATATAAAACTTGAAAAGTGTGTATATTTGATATTTTACATATATTTTGCCCAAAGTCTTTAGGTGCTAAGGAAGCACTTAAGTTTGTCTTTGAAATGCAGACAGTCAGTTCATTATTGCCACACAATGCTGTGTGACAAATCATCCTCAAGCTCTGTGACTTGCAACAATAATCGTTCATTCTCATGAGTGTGTGGGCTGATTGAGGAGGCCGTGCTTTAGCTGTGGTGGGGGCTTTGCTTAATGCTGCATTTGTGTGGTTGGGGCTCCTCCACGTGCCCCTCATTCTCCTTGGCATGGCAGACTAGCTGGTCATGTTCTCCCTATGGCTGTGGAAGAGGCATCAGAGGATAATCCCAACTGCCAGGCACATTTCAGACTCCTATTCCCCTTACACTTGTTAGTCCCATCCTCTGGCTAAAGCATGTCACATGGCCTACCCTGAAGTCCTAGGCAAGGAACTGAACTGGAACCATAAAGTTGTGAAGCAGAGGGCATGGACTCAGGGATGAGTGGGGAATTGGGGTCAATATTTCAGTCTGCCATATACAGTGTATGCATCTGACTATCTTAATTGGTGGTGAGAGGCTAAAGTAGGCACATGTTAAGGTGATGAAAAAGGAATATATGGGATTTAGTTTGTTTTTCAAAATTATTAATTGGTGAAATATGTAAAGAAGTATGGAGTATAAAATGGCACTAATAGAGGACTAAGATAACGTGGTAAAACTTTACCTGGTTGTTCTTAAATTGTATACATCATGTACTATAGAGATGCATCGCTGAATGATGGGGATACATTCTGAGAAATCATTAGGTGATTTTGTCCTTATGCAAACATAATAGTAGGTGATGTAGAGTACTATACACCTGGGCTACATGGTACAACCATTAGAACCTTATGGGACCACTGTCATATATGCAGTCTGCCATTGACTGAAACATTGTCATGCAGTGCATGACTGTATATTAAATCCACTTCTTGCTGTACTTTGGTCTTTCGTCTTGGTATGATATTTTCTCTTCTTTTGGGAATCAAAATTATTACAGGGCAGTACTTAAATTATTTTCACCCACAGGGTGAAAAACAGATCCTTTGACATAAAGCACTAATATTAACTTGTACTTAATTAGATATATTTTGGGTTGTTGCAGCCAACAGCAGAGTGAAAGAAGTAGTCTTTAAGAGTAACATAGCCTTCCCTGTTCCTAGCACTTTGCCTGCTTTCAAGTGTTCAGGAAAAAATGCTCTGCTGTTGACCCTCCAGCAATTCTTAAAAATCAAAGCTTCAATATAGCAAAAAAATTAGTCTTGTATAATTCAGTAACAATATCTATTTGAAATGAAGAAGGGATGAGAAGGACTTCAAAAAAGCAAATAGCTAAATATTAGGTAATAAATACTATTTTTTCCTAAACTTCCTTTGTTTTTTAGGTAGACTGGATTTGCTTTGCATGTGCTTTTTCTTATGTGGCCTGCTTGGAGGAGGAAGTAGGGAAATTTGACCTTTAAGAATCAATAGGAATTGAATAAATGCAGGAAAGAACAGAGTGTTTGCCCAGGAGTCAGTATAGGTGTGGTGCTAATAAGGCTGGAGTCAGGCCTCTCTTGAGGTAGTTAACTTTGCCCTCTTCTCCCAGCACCCCAGTGTACCAGAATTCAAACCGGAGAATGTCGTGCCTTTCTACTTTATGGGGAAAGAAACAGCCTTTGAGAAGTTAAGGGACTTTGCAGAGCCATATGTGGGATTGGAGGTCGAGCCACGATACAGTTTTCTTCCCCTGACACCATGTCTTTTGCTGCAGGGGGCGGATGAAAGTGGGTGGGTATATAAACCCAGGAAAAGCAGGTTAAAATCTGCTGAACATGGGTAAACATGGGTGTAGTACTGTGTTCCTGATGATAAGAACTTTTTAATGATTAGCCTTGGGAAATATTTTCTCATGGGGAAGCTAGAAAACCTCAAGATAAGAAAAAGGCTACCTGACGGTATATCTGCCACATCTCAATGGATTTGGGAGTCTTTTGTAAACTGTAATAGCATAGGAAAGCCAGTAGTTAAAATAAAAATGGCTGCCTTTTTCCTTCTTAGACCAGATGTGGGTATTTTGGTTGGATGAAATGCCTTCTGTGTCATTGAATTGAAATGTTTGAAAGAGGTTTTGGAATCTCTTTTTAAAATTAAACTTGTAACCTTGTGTTGCTGTCTTTGTAGCTGAAGAAACCAAGGCCATCTTACTTAGGATTTGGATAAGTTCACAGCAGCAGCCAGGAGAAGATCTGGAGCTCTAGGATTCATCTTGTGATCTTTAGACCATTATCATTATTTCCACTCAAATGTGGGGCCTGTTTTACTGAGTCCCTCCTCTGTTTTAAGGTACCATGTAGGGGTGCAGGGGAGTATGTGAAGAAATAGGAATCTTCTCAAAGAGCATCTACTCCAAATGGTGTAAGAGAAATGGAAGATCAGCTTGTGTTGTCGCACAGGTCTGGTATAGACGACTTTGATTAAGGTCCCATGACTGTAATCACACCTGTAAGACATGCCAATAAATAGGCCTTCAAAGACACCAGCGCAACATCCTAATTCAAAACTTCCTTTTTTTCCCCTTGTGTTTTCTGACTCACTTTCATTAGCATTGATCAGTGTTGTTCGATATGTTTCCTTGACTGTCTTCTCCTCCTCACTGGGTCGGTCAAGAGACAGGGTGTCTTTGTATCCTTAGCCCCTTCACACCCAGCCCTAGGCCCAAACCCCATCTCAGCCCCCGCCAGGTACTTCTCTTAATGCATTTTGAATGAATATGTATATATTTTCACATTCCTTAGGTCTTTAGCTACTTGGAGCAAAGACCATTTCCAACTAGAAATGGGGACTTGAGAGTCTTCATTGCAAGGCAAGGCCCAGGAAGATTTTCTGAGTGAGTTGATGTTTACATAGCTGCAGTAGGCAATCTCCAAAGGGGATAGACTGTTATGGTGCTGCCATAATTAGTTCTCCTGTTAGAAATCAGTCTACTACTTATTTTATGAGACTCTCCAATATGCAGCATTTCTTAGGCAAAGAGAAATAAACATTGTTGCATACCTGAGCAGGGGGGTGGGGAGTCCAGGTGGGTATGATAGGTTAAATAGTAAGGAAGTTGAGACTGTAATTACTTAAAACCAGTGTCAGGCACTCACTGGTATATGTGCATTTTCTCACACACAGTTGCAGGAGTGTGGTGAGTTAGTGTGAGCTGGCTTAAGACCGGTGCCGCATTGCAGGGTTTTATCAGATTCTGTGCCCTGCCTTTAGGTCTCTGTAGTATCAGTCTTGTGCGTCTGCAGTGCACAATCTACTTTGGTTACATTAGTTGCTTATGATTTATCTGTGCAAGTGACAGAGATGTTGCTTTTGAGGGAGGGCAGAGCCCTTAGTCTGTAATGAAAAGTGGAGCAGCCTCTGGGACGTGATCATTTGAGGCTGGTGATACCTCCATTCTGGAGCCCACATGTCTTTTCCATCCTATGTTGATGTCTATAAGAGTTCAAGCTAGTTAAGATCAAGTGATGTCTCCAAAATGTGACTGGGAGCCCCTAACACCTCCTATTTTGCTGTTGTTTCCTATAGAAAATTCTTCTCAACACATGTTTAGGTGGCAGGCATCTTTTCAAAACCGTATGTTTGTGTTTTATGCCAAAAAATGCCTTGAATTTAAAAATAGTCACTGTTGGCTGGCTGGTTAGCTAAGCTGGTTAGAGCGTGGTGTTATAACATCATGGTCAAGGGTTCATATCCCCATATCTGCCAGTTGCCAAAAAAAGTAAGAAATAAAAAATAAATAAAAATTGTCAGTGTTGTTTGCTGGAAAGAGTATATGGAATTTGGAGTTAGACGAAACTAGCCGTGCAGGTTTGTGTGTGTCTGAACCATTCCGAGCCTTTTTTATCTATCTACTAGGAGTAATAATGCCTCCTTCACAGGGTTCCTTGGCACATAGTAAGTGCACAGCAAAAGTTATTAATTCACATTAATATGTGAACTAAATTAAATCATGAAGAACCCATTATTACTTGGTGAGGTTTCTTACACAGCATTTTCATTATTCTTTGCAACTTCCAAATACCTTTACTGTCAAGATCAACTCTTTGCTCTACCTATATGAAGTTAAATTTCTATCACACATTTACTAAATAAATGGGTATTTTTAAGTCCCTAGAATTTAAAAAGTATGTGAAGCTTGAAAGGCATCTTGTGGGTTGAGTTGAAATACCCCTGTTCAGCAGCTGAAACAGGTGTGTCAGCAGCACTTGGGCATTTTATTCCTACAAACTTACTGGCTGAGAAGCTTGCCAAGCCAGGGAACATTCTGACCTTCTTTCATGGAACAGTAACTATTTGCCTTTGTAAGCAGAATTTCATCTTTATGCCTGGGCTCTATTCCATTATACAAAAGACAGTTGTGTCCCCCAAAGTTCATGTGTTGGAAACGTAATCGCTAATGCAGTGGTGTTGAGAGGTGGGATCTTTAAGAGGTGATTAAGTCATGGGGGCTCTGCTCTCATTGGTGGATTAATGCTGTCATCTTGGGAGTGGGTTCATGATCACGGGAGTGGGTTCCTGGTAAAAGGATGAGCTCGAACACTTGCTGTCTCATGCACGCTCTCTTTCCTTCCACATTCAGCCATGAGATGACTCAGCAAGAAGGCCCTTGCCGGGTGTGGGCCCCTCAACTTTGGACTTCCCAGTCTCCTGAACTGTAAGAAATGAATCTCTCTTCTTTATAAATCACCTATTATGAGATATTTTCTTGTAGCAGCACAAAATGGACCAAGACAACAGTCCTTCTGTCATCTAGCTGGCTTGCAGATTTTCAGTGCCTACTGTGTGTCCCTGGTGCACTGTGCTGGGTGCTGGAGATACAGAATGTCTCACTTTTTTGGAAGTCACATTCCCTAGGGGGCAGATGGGGGAAGATGGAAAGATGGGCGGGGAAGGGGAAGATGTGGTGGTAGTTGTCAGGAGGAGGTAGCAGAGCTCGACTTGAAATAGATAGGGGACCAACGCAGAGGTCATGAAGCAGGGGAGGAAGACTGCTGAAGGAGTCTGTTCTCTTTGTGCGTAACCAACCATCTGAAAACTTACTGGCTTAAAACAACCACCATTTTATTTATTGCACAGTTCCATATTTGCGTAACCAACCATCTGAAAACTTACTGGCTTAAAACAACCACCATTTTATTTATTGCACAATTCCATAGGTCATGAAAACTTACTGGCTTAAAACAACCACCATTTTATTTATTGCACAATTCCATAGGTCAGGAATTTGGGCAATGCTACCCCACGTAGTGTCAACTGAGGTCACTTGGTGGTAGTCAGCTGATGGAGGGGCTGGTCTTGAGAGTCCATAATGGCTTCACTCACATGACTGGTGCCTGAGCAGAGTGGCTGGAAGGCCAGGCTCAGCTGAGACTGCCAATCTAGTGACTAGTGCGGCCTCCTCAGTGTGGCAGTCCCAGGGTGGTCGGATGTCTTACATGGCAGCTCAGGGATCCTAAGACTCCCAGGCAGAAGCTGCAGGGCTTTTCCACACCTGGCTTTGGAAGTCTCAGAACATCACTTCTGCACCCTGTCAGTAAGCAAGTTACTAAGGCCAGCCCAGATTTAGGGTGAAGGAATTAGACTCTACCTCTCAGTGGGAGAGGTAATGAGGAATTTGTAGTCCTCTTTAATCTGCCTCACTCTGTTCCTGGATAGGAGAGCCACTGGGAGACTTTAGGGAGGGAGGGTTGGATGATGTGCTGGCTGCATAATGCATGATCAGATGTGCTTTTAGATTTGGGGGCAAAGATCAGACAGTAGGGGCTAAAGAGCCAGCAAAGGTTGGAAGTAGGATAATGGATGTGGAGTACTTTTTCAAGATTCTTGGCTGTGAGGAGAAGATGGGAATGAGGGTGGAGGCTCAGAGTGATGCTTAAGATTGGATATGTTTGCTTGTTTTTCCTTTGTTTTGGAGATGGGTGAGGTCACCAATGACCTGTTCTTTTCCAAATTATGGTTGTGCATTTTCATTCTCTTAACTGGTTACACACTGTTGGAATTCTGTCTTCTCTTGCCTTTGGTGATATAACTTTCTCCTAGTCCTGATCCCTCTGCCTGTGACTAAGGAAGGGTTGTTTTCTTATAGGGTCTATTTCCTAGGCTCTGTCCCATCTGTCCTTGCTTCCTTATTCTGCACCTTTTTCTTGCATAATCTCTTTCTCATGATTTGAGACCTTCACTTGCATGGTGAAGGTCTCAAGTCTATAACTTGTATGGATCCCCAGAACTATCTGTCCATCTGTCTCTTGCATGTCTCCTCCTGGATGTCCCTGTAATTCCTGTTCTTGTTTCTAATAGTATTATCAGCCTGACCAGACCAGAAGCCTGCATGATTTTCCCTTTATCTGTCTCTCTCCCTGTGTATCCAAACAGGTCACCAAGTAGTGCTGATTTTGCCTTTTAGACCAGGGTTCTTAACTGTGGCTGCATGTGGGCATCACCTGTGGAGCTTTGCACAGATGCACACCTGAAGCCCCATCCCAGACTTACAAATCAGACTTAGGTGTGCATATTTTTATAAAGCTTCCCAGGTAATTCTGATGTTCACCTCACACTGAAAACAACTCTAAAATTTTTCTCTAATTCTCTAACTCATTTCCACCATTGCTGCTTTGGTTTAGGCTTTTATAGTTCCCTGTGGCTGCCATTATGAATTACCACAAACTTGGTGGCTTAAAACAACAGCTATTTATTCTCTCAGTTCTGGAGGCCACAAGTCTGAAATCAAGGTGTTGGCAGGGCCGTGTTGCCTCCAAAGGTTCTAGGGGAGAATCCTTCCTGGCCTCTTCCAGCTTCTGGTGGCTCCAGGTGTTCCTTGGCTTGTGGTTGCATCATTCCAGGCTTTGCCTCCATCTTCACATGGTCATCTCCTCTTTATCCTTGTGTGTCTGTTACAAAGACACTCGCCATTGGATTTAGACCCCATAGGTAATACAGGGTGATCTCATCTGGAGATCCTTAACTTATTTACATCTGCAAAGATCCTTTTTCCAAAAGGTCACATTCTAAAAGGTTTTAGGACAGGAACATATCTTTTGGGGGACCACCATTAAACCCACTACACACACCCCATGGCTGTGATGTTCTCCCATCTGGTTATCTTGCCTCTAATCTGGACATCTCTCTAGTCCATCCTGCACTGTGCTGCCCTGGCAATTACTTTATATATCCAATCATGTTAGCCATTCGCTTCAGTCTTGCCAGACTCTCCATTCCCCTTATCATGGACTGCCAGGCTGTTGTGATCTGGCCCCTGCCTACCTTTTGCCTTCCTTTCCCACTCCTTCCTCTCCTGTTGAACTTTATGCTCTGGCAGTACCTGTAGTCTTCCTTGCCTTGTACATGCTGGCTTGTCTTAGGTTTCGAGACATTTCAAGCAGTGTCTCTTCCATGAAGCCTTCCCCAATGCCTCTTCCCAAGTGCTTTGTACTACTAGTGCATCTTGTTACATGTGTATTTTATCACACTTGTTTTTGCGCCTTTCTCTCCTAAGTAGAGAGCCCCGCGAAGGTGGGGTAGCTGATATTCATCGTCATAGCTCTAATACTTGGCATTATAAATATTGAATGAATGACCATGTAGCTTAACCTAATTGGAAACTTGTCTCATCTTGACACTGGTTTTTCCACCACCACCTTAATTATTTCCAACAGGATTTTTAACCTATCATCATCTAGATGTATTAAGTAGGCAATCTCTAAGTAGACTGGCTTATTATTTGCTTAACCTGCAGTATCTGTGCATCTGTGCTCAGGCAATTTAAGTTAAAATGTTTCTGCATGTGATAAGGTTGACATTTCTGTCTCCCGCTCCCCACCCCATATTAGATATGCCTTGTGGGTTGTAAGTAGCAGAAACCAACCTGAGTTAGCTGAAACTAAAAAGAATTTCATGAACAAGGGTCAGAGTACATCTGGGCCAATAGAAAGCCTTACGACTACTCTTTCCATCTCTTTTTGCTGCTTGTCTCTGTTCATCTGCTTCATTCTTCACTTTGTCTGCTTCTTCAGTCGTGTAACAGATTGTGACATCCCCACTTCTTCTGTGTTTACGTCGTACAGCTCTAGCCAATGACAGAGACTGGGTGGTTGTCTCTTTGTCCCAGTTTTGTATTTTCCAGGGTGAGAATGTTGTTGGCTAGCTTGGGCCAGATGTCCACATCTGGCCAGTCAGCTCCAGGGTGGCGGAGAGGATGGTGGCTTGGCCATTTCATTCAATCATGAGCTGGGGCTCACCTTTGGGAATTATGGGCTAGATTCCAGAGAAGGGAGTGTCGTGAGCAGATGGCCTGAAAAGTGTCTGCCACTCTCTTTCTAAGCTAAGTCCTGTTGATCAGGAATGTGTAATTGAGAGAAGGATGCAGCACAGATCTAGGTAAAAGTAAGAGGCATAGGTCTTTTTCCAGATCTTGTACTAATTGTCCCTAGGCCACAGTAGTGAAAATTTCCTCTAAATTGTTTACAATCCTGGCTTTAATTGGTTCATGTATGTTTCCCTTAATGTAGAATGTTCATCTTGATTTTAGTGATGTGCAAATCTATTAAAACAAAGTGCGTTTATAATCGTTGTGTACTCATGGATATTTTATAGTGATTATAAATATGTTTAAGAAAATAATGTACGTTATTCTCATCTTGCCTGAGAAAAATTAGAGGAATAAGACTTGAAATAAATTATCTCATTATTCTAGAGACATTTTTATATAGCTGACATTCCTTTGTGATGGAATTAGAAACACAGTGGGAATAACTTCCAGTGATAATTTAAAGCCATCAGCAGACTGTAGTTACCTATTCAACTTGTAAAACACACACACACAAAACCCCTTTGTTCCAACTTGTACAGTTCTGGAGTGACCCACACATCCCCTCTTCCCCACACCGGCCACCATACTTTTTTTTCTGGGTGTAGCTGGAGAAGTGGAAAAGCCCAATGGGTCACTGGACAAGACCGTTAGGACAGGAACAAGCCACCAGATCTGCTGTCCCCTAACTTTGGTGTTTTGAGAGAGCCTTGGAGCCGTCATATTTGTTCATATAAATCGTAAATCATTTCCCTCCCTTCTTTTAGTTCTTTTCTTGAAAAGAGCTTCTGCCCAGGTGTAGGTGGAAAATAGTCATCTCAATGTGGCAGCATGGGACAGCAGTGATTAGAACCTACAGAGACTGGTTAATCCAGAATTAGAAAATACAGTTGAAAATTGAAATGCTAGCTGCAGTCAATTCTGCATTTTCTCTTAAACACTGATAGTAGCTAAATACAGGAAATCTACTTAAAGACATATGTTTTCCAGTTAACTCTCTAAGCTTTTTTTTTTGTTGTTGTTTAAATGAACTAAAACTTGTTTATAATTTTTTCAAGCTATTTTTTGGTAGCCCTACAGTGTAGATTTCAAACAGAAACAGAAATGAATGTAGAGAATTCAGGACTTCTAAGAGAGCAGGTACTAAATTTGGTCTTTTTACAACTAAAGAGCCTGTGGACAGCACTAACATGATTTAGTAGTGAGAGATCAGGTGTAATTACTATGCTCCTTCCTAACTAGTTCATTTAAAAATATTTCTCCAGTGTTTCTATGGGGTCCATTAGAATGGCACTAGCTGAATGCGCCAGTGCCTCTGAAGAATACCCATTTGCTTATTTATACTCTGTCTCTTTGCAAAAAGATTTGAAGCGTCTGACTTTATAGAATAAGAAACCTATGATTACTTGTACATCACTCTTAAATTTAGTTTCTGGGAGTGATTTGAATTTCATTATAGCTGAAGTCTGTTTTGCAGCCCTTTCCTTTTGTGAGGTGTTTCATGGGCAATTCTTTAAGACTGTCCCTGTCTTTTCTTGTATTCCGTCTAACTTTTATGATTAAAACTTTTGAAGTCTGCAAATAAGTGAACTCTTTCCTTTCTCTTTCTAGGTACAATGGTGCTTTACCCAATGGAGACAGAGGACGGAGGAAAAGCAGATTTGCTCTCTATAAGCGGCCCAAAGCCAATGGCGTCAAACCCAGCACGGTCCATGTAATATCCACACCCCAGGCGTCCATGGTAGGTGGCTCCTGCAGAGTTGGGAGGGCCACTAAACAAACAAATACGTCTGAAGACATTGCAGATCGTCTCCTGGGGAGGGATGGGCAAGTACAGTCTGTCCTGTTATGAACCATTGTTTCAGGATACAAAGCAAGTAGCATTTATCAATATGGAATAGTTATGGCTGGAAGATATGTGATGTTCTTTATCCTAAAGAGTTTTTGTATTAAATCTTGGAAAAAAACCACATGAAGATTTGTTATTTTTCTTTTTTAATGGAGTGCAGTACATGTTTTCACATAATCTGTATGCACGTGAAATTGAATTTGTGTGATCGTTAGAAAGATGGGAAGTAAACAGAGCTAAGTGGTGTAAGACATGTGCTATACATATTTCTTATAAGTTTGAAGTGAATAAAATGGTAAATTTAAAAAAAGGATTATTTATTTGTTTCCTGATATATAAGTGGGGAAAAATCTGAGTTTCCATTCTAGTTGATACATTTTACATGAGATTTATGATAATTTTTCTTCAATTACATAAATTCTTTAATGTGTAATATAGTTACCTTTTCTGTACAGTAATTATACTTACCTGAAGTACTGACTAACATGACTGTACATGTTTAGCATCATGGGTTTGTACCATGTAGAATAAATAAATTCTTGACTTCTATTTTTACTGAAAACCCATTTTCAAAGAGACACAAATGGCTTCATGGAAAAGCACAGGGTATTTACACACAGTGGGAACAGTGTAGATCACCTTTGTTTGTTTCTGAAACTGTGCCATGAAAAGAATTTATAAGAATGCACCAATTAAGATCATCTTGTGTTAATGAGGGAATGAGCAGATAAGAAAATATCAAATACCAAGGAAGCAGAAAAGGAAAGATTAATATTTAGTGGACAAGCTTTTGACTAGAGAAAGAGAAATAAACTAAAAAGGAAGGACATTTTGTAAGAAAAATAAAGGAAATTCAGGTTTACAAAGATTCTGAGGAAAGGAGGAGATAAAGTAGCAACAAAATCTTGGAAGGTCAAGGAAGTATGAGAAACATTTTATAGTCCAAAAATATTTGGTGAAGACAGATACCAAGACGAATGTTTTTAAGCATGTAAAGAGTGCTGAAAATGTCCTGCTATGATAAACGTGGTCCTTATAATTTTGTCTCTTGATATTTATCTTTCCTTTCCTTCCTCTGGATTTATACCTTTTTGTATTTTTTTTAAATCTTGGGTTTTATATTAATACAATGGCTAACATTTAAAAAATTTATAGAAATCCTGCTTTAATTACTCAGTCTTCATGTTGTAATAGAATATGAAAATTTGCAAACTGTTAGGAGATAGTGGTCCTTCCTTAGTCTTTACCCGCCTCCATCCCCTCCCATTTAGCCTTTTATGTTATAACTTTATATCTGGATTTTACTTCAAGTTATTTAGACTATAAATGTTTTGGTAGTTGTCTATCTAAATCTGTGTTTAAAAATATTCCTTATAGTACTAAGAATAGAGCAAGTTGGGTTTTGGTCTTGACCCTCTTATAATCTGGGAAAATATGTTTTCAGTGCCTCAGTTGACTCATTTATAAACCGAGCAAATTGGCTACAGACAGGAACCATGTTGAATCAGATAAGATATCTTGGTTATAAGCAACAGAAATTATTCTGGCTAAGAAAAAAAAAAGCAAAAATGGAGAAATTAGTATAGGAGAGAGTAGAAGTAGCTCTCAGAATCAGGGGAGAAGTTGAGTAACGAGGTTTTGTGAGTGAGAAGAAGTGGAGTGAGTGTCAGTGGAGTTAACATGGATATTCTTCAAAGGTGTCATAAAGTGACTTGACTCCAACCACCTTCTGTCTCTTTTAAAGGTTTTACTTTTACACTGTCAGGAAAGAGAATCTGCTAGGCCTAGCCTGGGTCACTCATCCATGAGTGAGGCGGATGGATAGCAGGCGTATCTATCCTGAGCTGACCAGCCACCCCTGTGGCTTTGCCTTATTCACCTTATTCGTCTTTGTGCCTTTGCCTTGAGGGCCTTGTCCATAGTAAGTACTGAATGGTGGTTTGTACAGTGAACAAGAGCTAAATCTACCTCTTCCGTCCTGCACAAACCTAGGACCTAGTCCCATGTCCCTCCCTCCTCCTGGTCCCTCTCAAATGCTCCTCCCCAGCCAGCTGTGCCCAGCAGCTCCTGCTGCTCGATTTGTGCTGTTGGCCCTTCTACTGGGAGCTCCACTCGGTTGTGAGCAAAGCCCCTATGTATTTAACCTTTTCTTCAAATGTTTCTCCACTGCCTGGTGAACCTGAATCTGATTGTAAACTAAGCTTTTTTTTTTTACTCTTTTTACTCTTTTTTCCATCTCCAGTTTGTGGAACTAGAGATGATTTCATTCTGCTGCTTCCACTTCAGTCTTCTCTCTTTTACATTATTAATTTAAGCTACCTTTCCCCCAACTTCTGTTGAACTTGCTGACCTACAGCTCACTCCTCCACATGCTCCAGTGACTCAGTACCCAACCTGGTTCCTTTCTCCCTGACTCCTATAGCATCCAAGGTTCATAGTACTTTTCACTCAGTTTCAGAAACTCATTTCTGTTCCAGTTTTCCCCCAGTTACAGTGTACATTACAGCTTGTTGTCACTGGAAGTGACCACAGTTCATTCTGCTCCTGTGTGCATATCCTTTCTTATCCACTGTCATCAAGACATCTGGCCCTTTAGCTTGTCCTCATTTGCCATGGTTGTTGGTGCATTGGGCTTCCCCAGGTACGTCTTAACTGTGCCCCAGATTCTCTTTCTCCTCCTGAGTTCCTGGCTTTGGGCCCTTCCCAGGCCCTGCTGGGCTATTTTTCTTGTTGTCTTTGTTGCTTACTCCACATTCCTCAGAATTCCGGTGTTTGACCTGAATCGACCTGAATCGATGGTGGTTTCTCTGCTCTGAGGTTTCTGATTCTGCAGAATTGGTAATGAACGTGCATCTTTGACTGGAGTTGTAAAAGTGGGTGGCTGTGATTATCTATTGTTAGGATGCGAGCACTTTGCCAGCTGTTGTTTCTTTGCCCTGCCACAGATGTTCCTCTGCCCCACCATCTGGGGCAGACCAGGGATCGGGAGGAGACCTCCTAGTCTTCCATGTATGTCAGCATCTGAGCCGAGTCAGAGGAGGATGGCAAGCAGTGCCACTATTGTGTCATTTCTATTTGTATCATCTTTAGTTGTGTACATATTTGCTCTTGGGATAACACAGGTATTCCTCTGATTATGTAGTGTGTAAAAAAGTCCTGTTTTTTGTTGGCTGTCCTGTTACATGATCATAGGGCCTTTAGCAATGTATTCACCCATTGATTTATTGAATAAATGTTTATCTAGCACGTTCCATGGCCAGGCACCATGCCAGCTCTCGGATATACTGCAGTGAGCAAACACATCTGCATGAAGCCCAGCAGCTAGTGAGTAGGCAAAGAAGAAGAATCGTGTGAATACACATGTGAGTGCACGTGTGAGAAGTGCTGTGAGGGAGGGGCACAGGGGTTGGACTGGGCAGACAGGGAAGGGTCTCGGAGGGAGCGGTGTGTGAACTGCAAGCTATAGGGAGAGAAGAGTTGGCCAGGAGAGCAGAGAGATCGGGAGTCTTGTGGGTCTGGCTGGAGAATTTGGATTTTTCTCTAAGTAGAAACTTTGACGGGTGTTAAGCAGAGGGATAGCAGGGTATGACTGAGAATTTAAGTTGATTTATGTGTATTCATTTACTTTTTTATGATACGGGGCAACTATTTTGCTCTTACTCGGTCAGTAAATGGTATGATGGTGGTGGTGGCAATGGTGCTGATGCTGGTGCCTGATAGGGGAGTATTTTGCTAGCAGCGTGGTTTAAATTTAGCAACATTACTGTGGAGAACTCTTCATCATGGTTTTCCCGTCTTAGATTATGCTTTATTGCAATCTCCTTTTGGTTTTTTTTTTTTTTTTTAACTTTTAAAAAGTAACTGAAAATCACTTCGTTCCAGTTGGCATATTTCAGAATGGAAAATATCAGTGGTCTTTGAGTGATAGTTTAGAGAAAAATTAGAGCTGTGTAATATGATGGCTATGACCAGGCTGCTCTTCAGCCTGGTGGTAGTGGCAGCTGGGGAGCGAGATCTCCTAGTCGGTGTGGCTTCCCTGTTGATAAAATATTGAAACTCTTCCTTATTGGCTGATGAATAATAGTAACCATGAGAAGTGCTAAAACTAATAATATAATTTCCAGTGTAAACTCTTTAATGTAAACTGATTTTGTAGGATGTAGTGAAACTACTTTGGAAGCACTCACTGTCTTTCCAGATTGTGTCTTGATGGCAGTGAAAGTCATTTCTCTACAGCATATTCATTATGCAGCTGGAACCTTTTGTGCTGTAGGAGAACCGTCGGTTTATCATTATCCGCAGACTTTCTAATTGTTACTGCTTTTAAATAGTTGAGTTTTAAATAGGTATGACTTTGGTTTCTTTCATTGTTATTGCATTATAACTCTTGGGTTAGTAGTGTGTGGTGTTTGATATTAATAGGTTTAAGAATTAAGTTAATGAAGTATTTTATTATACAGGGAGAAGCAATAAAGTTTGGATAAGTTTTCTCCTTTTAGATATCATAAACATGAATATTCTGAATCTGTGAGAGAAAAAAAAAAGAAGTAATAGTAATTAACTGTAGTCCAGAATGTCTTTCAATATTACACGGTAACAGAAACCTAAAACAAATCATTCGTATTTCTAGAATGAAAAACAATTGATTATTTCAATGAAACATATAAACATGAATCAGTTCCCCCAAAATTAAAATAATAACTTCCAAAAAATTTAATCAAGGCATTTTGACAAAGCAAAGGAACGAACATGAGGCATTAATACAATATATTATATAGTTTTAAAATAATTTTCTGACATAAAGTATTTATTAGGACTTCAGAAAGTATTTTTTATGTGAATGTATCAGGGCAGTTTAGATTTATGGTCCTGCTTGTTGCAAAACATGTATC